GAGGGGAAAGGGGGGAGGTGGGAGGAGTGGGGGGATAGGGGAAGGGAGGAGGAAGGGGGGGGGTTACAGGTGGATTGACGGGATGTAACACCCACCGCACTTTTTCTGGCGTCACAGTCTTGTCCGGCCTGCCAGTCTGTCGGTGGTCCAGAGGGTTGTTGAAACCGCCGACACCTGACTTGTAATCACGATTTTGGCATCCATACTATTGAGGTGCTCTACCTATACCATTGCGGTTGGTGGGTAGCCCACATCTTGAAATGATTAATTGTTACCTGTGTTTTTTGCGCGGTGCTAAGGGTTACCGTTTTTTTTGTTGTGTTTGACTGCTGTTCCTCTTGCCACGTTTTGCGCTTTTGGTCTGTTCGAAAGACGACCGCTGAGAACAAAAAAGTCTCGTACTTTCTACATTGAGGAGAAGGCCACCCTTGGTATATGAAAAAAGAACACTTTGGAATTGAAAATAGCCAATTGCCGGGGGTGCCGTAGGCTGGAGAGTGTGTTGTCTATGTGCAACGCACATCCCGGAGAACCTTTTTTTTTTATCCGCTGCTTGGAGGCTTGGGGTTGATGCGAATACGACCCGCCATGAGCAGTGGCGGTGGAAGGGAAGGGGATGGTGCAAAAGAAGGAGGTTGTGGTCGTTGTTGCTTGTGCGTTGTTTGTATTGTGGATACGGTCTAACGGACGTACGGCAGTAGTAGCAGCGGTGAGCCGGCGAGTAGAACCTCCAAGACCGCGCCGCTGCTTCGCTGTTCGTTCCTGTGTGATTACGTTTGCCTCGACTCTCAGTATTGTACCATGTGGTATGTGGTTTAGACAAGGATACGTAAACGAGTAGCAGCGGCGCGTAAGGCATAGAGGGGGCCTCCAGATGGCGATGGAGGGGTGTGTGCTTGGACCCTGGGGGGTGTGTAAAGAGCCACAATCCAAGCCAGTGGGTACTTTCGAGCGAGGATACCGTGGAAGTGTGTGGTACGCGCGCGCGTCAGTGTGTGTTTTCTATTTTTGTTTCATCGACCGCGATACCAGGCTGACCACTGAAAATACCTCAGTCCGTAGTAGCAGGATATAAAATGCGAACACGCTTTCTAGCGTGTGTGTGACTGTGTGTGTGTGTGTTTCTTGAATTGCTTTCTTGAATTTGGGTCAACCGCGCTGACCGGCTGGCTGACGATTGAAGAAGAAGAGTGTGTGTGCGCGCGTTCTTTTTTTGTATCCTTTTTGCGCATGCCGCGATCCGTTCCCCCCCCGTTGTTCATAAACTTCCAACGGAATATTCTTCTGTGTATTTTCCGGCGCTTTTGTGTCGAAAGACCTCGGTTGGCCGGAAGCGGTCGGTCGTTCATTCCTTTCCTTGTAAAACCCCGACCGAGATGCTCGTTGATGTCGTTCGTAGTTGTAGACTCTGCGGCAGAGGAGATGCCTGTGCGTCTGCATCACAGATAGACGGGGCCGAGGGGGGGGGGGGGGGAGGGTTCCCAAAATTTTGGGGGGGGGGGGCTCCACTGGTAATGAAAAAAAAAGGAAAACTCCCAAAAAGGCCTTTGATTTTATCCTTTTCAACATAACTTTTTTTGGCGGGTGGGAAACCATGCCCCTATTTTTTGGCCCTTTCAAATTTCATTAGTTTTCCTGTTTGGGGGCTTTACGAAAAAACCGTCTCCTTTTTCCCCAAAAGATGGAGTGTGGGGCTTGTCCCCTGTTAAAAAGAAAGTTTTAAAAAAAGGGACCCCTTATAAAAGAAACCCCCCCTAATTCCTCCAAAGGCCCCGTACTTTGGGGTGACATTCCCCTTTCCTCCCCTAAAAAAAATTTTTTTTTTCCCAACCCGGAGGGGGTTTTTTTTTCCAGGAGTTGCAAAAAAAAGAAGCTGCCCTAAACAATTTTCTGTTCCAATCTTTCCCCCTCCCCCCTCCTCCTTTTGCCGGACAACCCCCTTTTTATC